TAACCTGGGTTCGACTGAACCCTAGGGGTTCGGTGAGTCGGTCTCAGGGGTTCGGCAGAGCCTCCGCCGTGACATGCACAGCTCATTTTGTGCACCAGTAAAAAACATATGCATGTCTTGAATTTGAAAAAAATCTTATTTTATTTTTCACTAAAGAGGGGTTCAGTGAATGCGCATATGAAACTGGTGGGGTTCGGTACCTCCAAAAAGGTTAAGAACCACTGAGATAGAGGGAAGGGAGCAGACTATGATATTGTGCCTGTAAGCGAAACTAAACTCTGGATTCCTGAGTAGGTTTTAAAATAGGAGTTAAAAATTTACATAAGCCTGTATTTATCCAGGAAATTATAAATAAAGGCTTGCGTGCTGCTTTTCCATAAACACTTTTGTACTTTAAACTCTGAAAATGTGTACTTTAGTTTGAAAATGTACTTCTTCAAGCTCACAGTTCCTATTTAATACTTCTCTAGACATTTAGAGCATAGCTAAGCTTAAGGAGGGGTTTTTTTACTTGTAAACCTGCTTCTGTGGATATTCCTCCAAACTTACTAAACCACAATGGTGAAACAAAAATTCAGAAAAACAACAGGGATTCTGACTCACTCTAGATCATTTTGGGTTGACCTCCTACACTGAACCTAATCACGCTGTCAGTAGCGCATGATTTTTGTGTGTAAGTGAGTGACACATAAGAAGCAGATGGAGCCCGTGAACGGCTGCTGCAAAATGAGCGCCCAGGCCTAACCAAGAGTGTTATCTTTTAGGAGAAGACAGCACAGAACTGCAGACGTGGACACAAACTCCCCAAGCTGTCACTCGACTGGCTGAATGTGTAAGTGTATGCACTGGACTGACTGCAGGAGGAAGCACTCAGTTTCCTTAGTGTCCTTAGTGCAGTAAAACGGCTATCCAGCCATGTGCAAGTACTCCACTTTAAGTAAAAACTTAACGAATCAAAGAAGTTGGAAAAATAAAAATGGACTGCAATGACATTTCATTTCTCAAAAAGAAAAACAGTGCAGAAATAGCTCAGACAGAGAGTTGAGAGTTGATAAGAAACTCATTCATTGCAATGAGTGCAAGATGTTGCAGAACTAAATGTGTTAAATAAAGCACTTTAATTTCAGCTGCCAAAACACTGCACATTTTATTGTTAATATAGATTTATATTAGAGATTATAGATTTAAGATAGATTTCACTCAAGCAAAGTGTGACGTACAGCCAAAAAATAATATTATGTTAAACATTTCTCCATCTTTGGTATTTTTCAGGGAGGCATTAAAGGATTGCCTAGTTCACTATACATTCTTTTCACCCTATGTAATTCAAGCCAACTGGATTTCTTTAACAACATGACAAATCTAAAAATAAACCTGCCTGTTTTTTTTGCTTTCTGGTCCATTTAGATTTGATGTCGAGAACATAATAACACCCATCAGCAAATACAGGATGTATAACCAACAGACAAGAACAGTTAGGGAAACTATGAGGTATCTGACTGTCCACCCACCCACCCGAGCTAGCTCGGAAGAAGAGAAAAGCAGCGGCACAAAGTATGTCAGGAATGAAAAGCTTCTGGTTAACTGTCTCAGGGTGAAGAGACAACACAGTTCCCAGGCCACCAGGAAATGGTTGCACAGAAGAGGCCCCAGGTGGCTCCAAGTGAAATGAGCCACAAACAATATGGGCTAGGTCACAATGCTGCTCGCTTGAAACTAGCCGAGTTACTAAAGCCTTTTATTATTGTTGCAGATGAAAATCCGATGTGAAACAAAAAGAATGGCACAAGTAAAGGTAATTAAAGGTAATCAGTTTCAAGGTCCTCACCGTCACATCTGCATGGTCTACTGGGTCACCCAAAAAGAGTTGTGATACGTTTTTGTTTTTTTTTAATAAAACCTGTGCAAAAACTAAAAGAAAAGCTCTAATCTCAGTTTGTTCTGTAGTATGTGTATCCTGCACTGCAACCCTAAAGTCAGTGAAACATGTAACCATTTTCATTGTATATTCTGCCACATGTTTAGTTATGATTGTTTAAGCTACAAAATAATGAACCTCTGCACGGGATCACTTAATCAGGGACCGAAATACTGCTCGTCTGCCGCTCTTATCCAAGCTAGTTCTTTCTTTAGAAATGCAACTCAGTGCTACAAAGCTGTGGATATTCAGTGAATTTCTGGGCTCTAACCAAGCAAGCCGTGAGATCATTTTTTCAAACATTCTAATAAATATGTGATTCGGATCTGACCTGATATAAACTCAGGCAAAAACCAAGCTCTGTTTCATGTGCCCATCAGTCCACAGAAACACTCGGCCACCGGCCATCAGTCGGCCCCTCCCTCTCTAGCCATCTTCTTTTCAGCTGTCTTCCAGCCTTCTGGCCTACATCCCCGCCTGACTGGTGTCTGCAGCTTGTGTCTGCCTCAGTGAACCTCCACCTGACAAGACAGCAGCAACCACACACAAACACACAGTTGCAGCTCGTGTTTGTGTGTTTGTGGGCAAGAAAACTTCACACATTACTACTACTACTTTAACATCTTGATGTAAAATTTGTTTAGATATAGTTTGTCTGTTAGCAAAGACAGAATTCATCCACTTGAATGTGGCAAGAAATGAAATTACTTTTATTGTGATTCAAACTGCATATACTGTATTAAGCTTTTGCAGGTAATGAAAGTGCAAATGACATTTTGGGGGCTTCTTGTCACACTTTGGGTTTGATTTGACTTAACATCTGTGAAGGGAGGAGACCACAGGACAGCCTCAGTGACAAACCCACACACGCACACATTTATCACTCTTTAGCTGAAGTGGCTGCTGACTGGTGTTTCCTGTCCAATGTGTAAGTTCATGAAAGTGTAACTCTACTTTCAAACTGCCAGTACACAGTACTAACATGTTACACTTTTGAAATCAATAACGTACTTTATAAATTACGTTACAAATATTTTTGCATCTTATTCCACGTCAACAAGCATGAAATGCTGAGTGAGGTGTTTTTGCGTTACTGTCAGGTCGAACCACACCTACAGACTTCTGCTCCACCGGTTCTCAGCAGCTGCCCATGCTGGCAGCGATGTTGTAATGGTAAAAATGTTGACGGTTGAAATTTGAATGACGTGTGCCTCCTCTTGTCTTTTATGCTATTATAACCTGCCCCACGCTCATGAACATGCTTACATTACTACTGAGCCTCACCAGTAGTAACACCATCCATGCCAAACAGGAAAGACAAAAGGGAAAAAAAGGAGTGACAGATGGGAAGTTGAGACAGGAACCATTTTACGAGACAGATGGACAGCATACTTATCTTTATGGGGGTTCCTTACCATTAGAAAAGAAGAAAGTATGTTTTTGTTTTTAACTTATCCTATCAGCCACAAAAGCAATGTTTTGTAGGTCAAAGGTAAAAGTGGAATAGATTGGATTAGCTTTACTCTCACCCATGCATGCTAAGTACAATATAAGCCTTCTTGTTTTAAGATCTTATACTAACTAGCAAACACGTTGTTGAATACTTCTGGTTGATACTTCAAAGTTGATTTAATTCAAAAATGTGGATCCCAGGGAAGAAAAACTCCAGGACGTAAAATATGTAATTTTCTTTGTGTGCTAATTTTGAATGAAGTAAGAGCTTGATTTGGCTAGTCATATAAAAGGAAAAGGAGCAACCAACTGCACAGTCCATAGTCCATACATAAATATGATTTTGACTTAAGAATCTACCTTAACGCAGTTTTCTCTTCTGCCCTTCTTATTGGTATTTACTGATGAAACTGGAGGGACCCTACCTTCTGTTTTACCGTCCACTTTGCTAAAAATGGCCAAATCAGTTCTGGTTTAATGAGCTGATGGTTGACTTAATTTTAAAGAACACAAATATTCATCTGGAGCAAATTCCATAGAGAAGAGCAAAAGTTTGATTTAGAAAACATGATGTTTGGAGCTGATGCCAATTTGAATTTTTAAGGAATAAATATCACAATATTGATGTACTGGACATCATAACGTATACATGCAACAGCTACTTTTCGCTGCTCCCCTATTCACAAGGGATCACCACAGCGGGTAGCTCCGCACGTTTAATTTGGCAGAGTTTTTACACCGGACATCCTTCCTGACACAAGCCCAAAGGCATTTGCGTTTCCTCCTGGGATGGAACTTGGGATCTTTCGCTTGTCCTGCGAATGTTTAAACCGCTACTCAAATACAATATGTGAGTTACACTAGAAAGGGAAAATAACTTCGCAGCAATGTGGTTTACTAACCCGTTAGCATCTAAACACGAACACACTGCTCATCTCCACGCCGCCTGCTCAGCTGTGGTGTGCACCCTGCTCCATGTGCTGCAGGGTGCACAACTTAGCCAGAGAATCTTTTTCTACATCCAAACATATCAGCGTACAGTTTCATATATCAGATCGGCTGTAGGTATGGGAGCGTGTCTAGCCGCCAGTCTATCCGGTTCAGCTGTTCATTGTGGACCACACTTTGTTACATTTCACTGATATCTAAGAAAATAACTGAGCTACATACATGGTAATCCTCATTCAGCCTATGCTGACATTATTTTGCAAATTTAACCTCAGTATATAAAGAATTGGGAGACAGATATTGACTCATCACAGCTGAGGCTGCAGCTTGGATGTCATGATTCATCCGATTCACCAGGTTTGACAAGCTCGCCCGAAGGCCGTTTAAGCCCCACAAGTTCTATATACAGCTTACAACGCTGATGGCGGTAAACTTGAGCCACACTTTGACCTAAACAATGAGATACAGGCGTGTTCCTTCTTGTTCCAGGATGTGTTTCATTAACAAATGCATGTGCAACTAGAGCACCAGCTGTATGAAGACATTGTAAGCACAAGTTAAATAAGCTTTTAAAAGAGCAAGGACCTGCCTGCTTGAGTCCTTACTCCACATCTCTTGGCTTTAAGCACTTTATGGAGCTAATTTCATTTCACGCATGCAGTCCTCACGGGAGAGACAATACTCTTCAGGGTCAGTAAGCACTGTGCCTCCTGAATGTGCTCGGGCTTTTTTTTTTTTTTTTTTTTAAATTGCATCCAAATTAAAATGAACATCATTATTTTTATGCTACACACTTTAATGCAATCAATAATCGAGAACGACACACATTGTTAGGCAGTTGGCTTGTATTGATCACTTCATGTGGATCCGGCCTAGAAAGTTATCCCAGCGCTACAGGCTCCACCGGATGGGGCTGACGTGGAAAAACAATCCAACCAAGCACACATCTCTATCAATAGCTGGGTGTAATTAAACAGTACTCCCTTTACACAAACTGCCAGGCCAGCAGGTCAGTTTGTTCAATGTGGTCTCACTTAGTTCAGGATGTTAGACAGCTGCGTTGCTGCCAACGCCGGCCTGTTTCGCTGCATTCTCAGCATTTTTCTCATTAATCAATCCTCTAAATTTTGTATTCCAAATGAGACATTTTGGAAACTTCCACTGAGCTCTGAGCCCCCCATTCCTGGATACCTTCCTAATTTAAGAAATGCGAGGAGTGCAATATCCTCTCTTTATTTCTGGATCCTCTCCTTTTCTTCGCAGACATGTGTTGCATCAATAAGTGGTAGGAGTGGCCGGGAGTGTGTCCTTAATCTCTTTATCCCTGCAAGTCAGCTCTGCTTACAGCCTAACACAGAGATCTTTTCAAGCATCTGCCAAAAAAGTTAATCACCTTCTCCCATTCATTTGCCACTTTACTACAACATCATCATCACCATTATTACTAACATCATTCATACACTCACCTATTCTTTGTCATGTGACTTTGTGGGAATTTACAGAGAATTTTCAGGTATGTTTTGCGACACTTCACTGTACCTACAGAGTCACACCTGAATGACAACATGGCATGTTACTATGGATGTAATCCAGGATGCATTCCACCCTCAACTGATACTACTCTGCCCAGCCTGCTACTGTGCCACTGTACAAAGCAGTATCATGAACTGACATACCCATGGCTGTAAACATAACATTTTGAGTCTAAGAAAGAAAAACACAAGTGTATTTATCACTCATCACTGCGATTAATACACCTAAAGGAGTCTTCAAGTGGTAATTTTATCCACTGGCTAGCCAGTGTACATGCCTTACTGTGATTCTCCATGGCGGTTGCAATGTTTGTTTCCTTAATTTCTAACAATCTCAACAGTAAATAGTTTAATGTTTCCATACGCTACACCCATATTTTCAGCAACGCGTCCACGCGTGTAAACGCAACCGAAGAGAAAAAAAATGCATTACACGGCACGACATTAAAAATAGTCAGCTACTGTAGCGTACTTAATTTCCCCATAACTGGGAAAAACACAGTCACCATCACCGAAATCACTCCCACCATCTCGCCTGAGCCCACAGTCCAGGCTCCAAAAGCGGGGGAGGCTTAGCTACATACATACCCACACATAGACAGCAGCTAACACACACTTTTACTAATCACAGCCAAGTGTGCCCGTAGCTGCACTTGCAATGTTTACTGCTCCTAGAAAACAGAGAGGAAAAAAAAACAAGGAGCTCCGGATAGCATTTGCTTACCGAAAACACGTCAACGTCCGTGGCAGCCATGGTGCGGAATGTATGGTGTTGGTGTGCTGAAGCAGACCGAGCAGAGGCGAAAGGGAGCAGCCCTTGTGTCTCCGTACTAGCCTGCTAAACTACTGACTGAGCCGAGCTGACAGTGATAGGAAGAGAGGGACACAAGGCGGAGAGGAGCTGCTGAACTGGGCAGGGAGGGCGCTAAGCTAGGTGACGAGAGGACTCCCTGCTACTTCGGTTCTGCTTCGCTCAGACACGCTACAGTTTTTCATTTGCTTTTAAAACGGTACTAGTGTAAAAGAACAACAGTTATTTTTTTTATTTTTTATAAACTGATTATATATAAGGGAAAGGGTGAGAGAGTCGGTACTTAACGGCTGTTTGACGGAGCACTGTTTGCGCATGCGTACGCACATTCCACATTTTTATACATTTTTGCTGTTTTCACATGAAGAAAGCTATTTTTAAGTAGCTTTTCATTATATTGATTATCAAAGTGAACTACAAAAGATGGTTGCTATGTAGTTTTTATTAAGCACTAAAGAGTTTCCAGGCGATATAAGAATAAATATTTATACCTAAGTTAAAGTCGAGCGTGAACTATCCCAAGTATAGTTGACATCTTTGGTTGTGACATATACTTTTTCAATATGGCCAGCTTTCTCAATCGCTGCAGGAATGTCATGTTGCACACTCTGCAAGCCAGGACAGGAGCGAGCAGCAGAAATATGTGTCAGTCAGAGATGGATATCATTTTTAAAAAAAACCTAATCATTTGGATGCCAGTCAAAACATGGCATTCATATTAAAATTAAGCTAATTAGGTCAGAGATTGAGTTTACTAGAATGCAGATCAGCCAATCAGAGAGTTGGAGCAATCCGTCACGTGATGTCGCGATTTTCAATATTTTTCTGTGTTATCTGTCAGGCAAAAAAAATAGAATTTGTATCTTGTATGTGTGTATACCAAACTGGCTTTATTCCAGATAAATGAATGGTATTACTATCATGAGTAAGAGCAGTGGTTAAGTTATAAGATACCGTTGCAATAATTAGGATTTCCAAAGAACTAAGTGGCAAACCTCCAGTACTCAAAAGTCAAGCTCGCACATGCCACAAACTGCAGTTCTTCTAATGTCCACTTGCAGCCTGCTCGATGAGTAAGTCAGTCTGTATTAATTACAATGTTGATGTTAAAGTGCCCAACTTTATCAGGAGAAATAGAAGGAAGGTCAGAAAGAGTTGCACTGCGTCTTTGAGGATCTCAAGAGCACATACTGGAAGAATTAAAAGAAGTTAAAGTGACTAAGTGGCATTTTAAAAGGCTGGTACAAAAAGGCTTTTGGCCTCTATGGATAGTGCCCCCCTTCATTGGGGAGATGCATAACTCATCCATGTGGATACTGGAGTTGGGTGTGTGGCTGTCTGATTGACAGGCACAGTCTGCCGTGATAGTGATGTGTTGTATGGCCATGTTGGTGGTGTTCCTGCATCATTATAATAATGTTGGTCCACAATGCTGATGTGATGTCATAGCTTGATGACTGTGATGAGAAAGGACAAAAAAATCCATTTGTTTATATAAAAATCTCTTCTGAAACAAATGTTAAGCATTTCAAGTGTTTTCCTTATTAATTAATGCAATTAAATAATAAAGTTTGCTGTTAGCCACATTTAGGTTCCTCATCCTGGTTTGCTTGGGATAGTTTTTCATTGCTTTAGTTAACTTCTTGGTTAATGCTAACTGACTGCTCACACAACATGACTGACCAGTTGTAATGTTTATTCTGGAACAACATTATGATGAAGATATAAGATATATAAGATAGGAACAAAACTAACCTGGCGATATCAAATCGTATGTGGTGAAATTATCTGACAAATACTATGGCTCGCTGCGAGGTACAGACTATCAAATAAGTCTTTGGTTCAGTTTTGTGGAGTAAAATTGCAGCAATTTATTAGCCCAATGCAGTCAACAAGATAGGATGGCCACAACAGCCACAACAATGATGCTTCCAATCAGATGGGTGAGGTCACGTTGCTATGTCCATCTTTTATTTACAGTCAGTGATGGTAACAGATTATATAACCTATATGACATTTTCAAAATACAAAAAAGAAATAATGAGCCCACATTTCATTATAAAATATATGTAACTAGATTGTAACCACAACGATTAATTAATTAATTAATTAATTATTTTAATCTTTAAATTCCATTGTCACCATTGTTTACAACAACTTATTTTGTTTGTTTGCTTTTCTTGAAAAGGGGGAAATTACTTTTTTTAATGTGGCTGCATTAGTTTGTATATTATTATTATTTATTTATTTATTTATTACTTTATTATCATTATTATGATTAATATTATTTAAAGTGTAATATTTTCAGTGTTGAAGTATAACCCTTGCATATAAAGTATAATCCTTATTACAAACATTTCATGTTTGTGAGTACAGTACCTACATTTCAACACCTCATGTGAGCCTAATCCAACATTTTTAGCCTAATTACCAAATATTTTCTCCTTATCATTTATATGTACTTGTAGCCTACGAATAGGAACAAAGTGATGCTTTTTGTTTTATTTTACTGAGGTCTACTTTGTTGATTTACCGAAATTTTTGAGCATAAGAATGTTGAACTACTTTGCTCATAGTAAAATATGTACATACATTATTCAAATTGTCCACGTCCTCACTTTCCCCGGAAAGAGCCTCCTCCAGGTGTGGGGAGGAGAGGGAGCGTCCAGGTAAAGCGGTCTGTACCGTCACACGGATAAAGGTGTAACACACCGCGCAGCTGTAAGGAGCTTTCGCTTTTTTCTTTTACAGCTTTAATAATGATTTTGACACAAGAATCCATTCTGTCTTTGCTGGTAGCGGAGGGTGGAAGAGTGAAGAAATCCGACCTGGTTGATAAGTTCAGAGAGTCGGTGGACACCGCGGATCCCGAAGAAAGAGAACGGAATAGGGAGCTTTTCAAGACTTTTGTCAACAATGTAGCGTTTGTGAAAGAAATCGACGGCGAACGGTATGTTGTCCTGCGGAAAACCTATCAGCATTTGTTGGAAGGTCCAAAGATCCATGTGGAAAAGCCTGAAAATGAAAAGATCCCGCTGACAGGTGAGCAGCAGCGCCCACCTGCGCAGGCTGGAAGCTCTGAGGATCAGGGAGGTGTACAATCAGCTGTTACTGAAGCTGATCAGGAAGAGGCAAGTGAAAGTAGTGACCATCCCACAGAACTGCTTTCTCCCATACAGATGGCACTGCAAAGGAGTAAATTTGCAAGTGTACGACTTAAAAGGTCGCTGAATGTTGATGTCCAGCTGGAGGATAGAAAGGGAATTAACTGCTCAAATGTGCCTGTAAAGACCAAGCCATATGCCTTGCCTCTGAGGATGCCCCCCAGCGCCACTAAAGTGGAGATCCACAAACTTAAGCCTGACCCAGATGAACCCGAAGAACATCCAAAAACGGATGCTTTCAGGGACAAGAGAAACAAACTTAAGCCTGACCCAGATGAACCCGAAGAACACCCAAAAACAGATGCTTTCAGGGACAAAAGAAACAAACTTAAGCCTGACCCAGATGAACCCAAAGAACACCCAAAAACAGATGCTTCCAGGGGCAAGAGAAACAAACTTAAGCCTGACCCAGATGAACCCGAAGAACACCCAAAAACGGATGCTTTCAGGGACAAGAGAAGGATGCCTTCGGCGGAGAGCAGCACCGGCTCACCCCAACTAAGGAGGGCAGCGAAGAGCACCAAGGCATCAGAGGAGCACAAAGACACCAGGATTCCCTCTATGTTTCCCCTGGAGCACTCAGAGCATCAGTGGCTCGTCAATTGTGCCGCCGGCCACTGGAGCCAGGCTTACGGCCTGCTGCTCAGAGACAACCAGCTGGCCGAGAAGAAGGACTTCACGTCAGGGTTCACTGCTCTGCACTGGGCAGCCAAAACTGGGAACAGCGACATGCTTGTGAAGATTATCGAAAAAGCCAGGCAAGGAGGGGTTCACGTTGACATCAATGCAAAAACACACGGGGGATACACTCCTTTGCACATTGCTGCATTGCATGACAAGCAATATATCATTGGCATACTGGTGAAGGAGTACGAAGCCAACATAAGCATCAGGGACAACTATGGCAAGAAGGCCTACCACTATCTCCACAAAGACGTTTCTGAGTCTGTGAGAGAGATGCTTTGTAAGCCCAAACCCCAGCCGGCAGAGGACAGGGCCCTGCATGAGAAAGAGGAGCTGGATTTGTTCCCGGATCTCTCCAAGGGCCTGCATTCAATAAGCCGCCTCTTTCAACCAAACGTGACAGGCCACAAAAAGAAGCACAAGCAGCGGCCGGGCCTGTACTCCCTGAACAACGACCCCATCGAAGAGGGAGAAGACAGCGGCACCGGCTTCAGGCACAGGCCCATGTCAGATGTTTTTATGTGAAAGCAAAGCTCTTCCCTGACGGAAAACACACCAATGACCTTAAAAGGATTTGGTTAATGCTCTCTTTTTTTATTTTTAGCCTACTTTCTGCAGTTATTATTGGAGATAATGATACAAAAAACATGTGGAGGGATTCTATAGAAACACAATTTAAGTGGTTAAGATCAAAGAGAAAAGATTTAAAAAACCTCGAGGTCAGCAGATGCTGTGTGTGACGTTACCTGCATGAGGTGAATGTCAGACAATGGTGGCTCCTGTGAGTCGTCTTATTACTCACACAAGTGTGGGCTTTTGTAGGTGTGGCCCCTTTAGTCTGTCTGTTTTCAATTGAACTGAGCTTTAAAGTTGTACAGAGAATTTTCTACTGAGTCATTTCAATTAAGACCAAAGAGAGGAATCTGCGTGTTCAGCAAACTGGTAATAAGGACTAATGTATAATATCACAGCATTACAGTCACAGGAGTTAGCACGTGGAACAATTGTACAGACAAAGTGGAAAAAAATAGTACATCACTACATAACTTCACAGACCAGCTGAAAAACAACAAACTGAATGAATATAGGAAGTGTTCCTCTCGGTGATTGAGTTGTTTCATTGTGTTCTTATGAAGCCTTGTCTTCATTTTTGTTGTTTAAGGTGAGAATAACCCTCTTTTTTTGTAAAAAAAAAAAAAAAAGGAGTAGGTCTCAATAAGTGTTTAACTTCTAAATACACCCATTGAGGTGTAGTATGTATATAGTATGTAAAATTTAAGATGATTTCATATTGTGTTTATATATCACACATGGAGTGTTAGGATGGTTTCCTTGTTTTTTCTTCTGTTTATGTTTTTTATATGAATACTATAGCCAGAATTAACTAAACTAAAATAAATGTAGTGGTTTAGACCAGTTTTCCAGTTCATGCCATTAAAAAAATTAAGGTGTCCGTTTATGTAATCGAGCTTCCATGTCCGATAAGTCGTGCCATGAATTCTCTTCCACTGTGATGTCGAACGGGCTGTTTTTCTTTTAACCACAGACTTTAATCTGGTTGATCTTTTATTGTTTTTGTCAAAGTACCCGTTCTTATTCTTCTTTTGATTTCAAGCTAAAGCGTACATACTGACAGGAAGTGAATGCAGAATAAAGACATTCTGTTACTCATTTACTGAGATCAAGACTTGACTTGCTCTGTGTTTTCATTTATGAGCAAGAAATGCAGTGCAGTGATCTCACAAAGCAGGCATGCGCAAACAGGAAAAAAAAAACGAGGAGGTGTTAATTTATAGGGGAATTAAACTTCCAGTAGAGAAAAATATAATTGTTTTGGAAAGAAGAGACTTAAATATTTGTGCCTCTGAGGGCAGGTTTAGAAGACTAAGCTATTCACTGCTTCACTTTAAAATAGATTAATTATTAAAGGCTGTAAAGCATTAAAAATTCCCCCGAAGGAAGCAGACTCTGGATTTCACTGTAACATAATCAAATTTACAACAAAAAAAAAAGGGGGGGGGGGTACAACTTGTATCATTCATTAAGGCCGCACAGGTGCTCCATAAATCATTAATGCCCCTGTATTTGCCAAGTAATTCTCCAGGCTTGGCTACATCTCCTGACTTGTCGAGACAGCTGTGATTAAGCCAGGTAAGCATCTGGCATTGAATGTGCGTGGCTGAAAGATCAGAACGAGCTTTGCATACACTTAACTCAGTGTGTGCTGAAAACTGGAGGTAAACGAAAGGCAGGAGAGAGCGGGAAGAAATAGCAACATTTAGAAATAGTAGGCCAGCTCACTATCCCGCCGTTCGCCTGCCCTTGACTCGTCTCCCTCTGCTTCTTGCGTGTCTCGTTATGTCACTTTCCCAGAAGCGTACATTGTTTGTACGTCAAGATGATGTTTCATCTCAGAGCCTCTGGGCTTTATTAAGCAAATGTTCTTTTCTGTGGCTGCTGCGGGGAGGAAAGCCAACACGGGTTCAGAGAGCTAGGAGAGTCAGCACATAGAGCTGATGTCAAACTGTTAATGCACATAAACATATGAGTGTTTAAGGATTAAACTGTACCATAGAGAGCAATCAGAGTAATCCATAATTAAATGTTGTCCTAGTAATGTTATTCTGCTACAAGCCTAAAAGTGCACTACTGTAGCAAACCATAAAGGAAAAAAAAAGCACTATCTGACAGCAAATTCGTAACGGAAATCCTGTTCAAATCCTTGTTAACTTTTTACATGTTTTTAATGTAAACAAGCATTAACACAAATGTCTAATTAGCCAATCATTTGGCTGCAACTCAGTGTTTTTAGGCATGTAGACACGGTTCAAGAGGACCTGCCAAGGTTCAAACGGAGCATCAGAATGGAGAAGAAAGGTGATTTATGCGAGTGACTTTGAACAAAGCGTGGTTATGGATGTTTCAAGTATTTAAAAAAACTCCTGATCTTCTGGTATTTTTGCCACACTACCATGTTTATGGAGAATGGCAATGGAAAAAAAGAGAAAACATCCAGTGAGCAGCAGTTCTCTGGGTGAAAATATCTCACTGATGCCAGAAGTCAGAGGGGAATGGCCAGACTGCTTCAAGCTGATGAGAAGGAAACAGTAACTGAAATGACCACTCTTAAGAACCAAAGTATGCAGGAGAGCATCTCTGAAAGCACGACATGTCAAACATCAAAGCAGAAGAGCACACTGTGTGACGCTTTTTCAGATAAGAACAGGAAACTTATCTACAATGCGTGTGGGCTCACCAAAACTGGATAATAAGATCAGTGTAAACAGCATGAAAGCATGGATCCATCCTGCCTTGTATCAGCAGTTGAGACTGTTGGTGGTAATGATGTAATGGTGCAGGAGATATTTTCTTGGCACACTTTGGGCCTCTTAGAAACTACCACATTTCTTTAAGCTAGCTTTAATAGGTTATCAATGTGTTATTAAATGTCAAAAAATTCAAATAATCTCAAACTGGTTTGATGAACATGACAACGACTTGACTGTACTGGTGTCCACTCACTAGATTTCAATCCAACAGAGCACCTGTGAGGTGTGGCAGATCAGGAAATTCACATCATAGATGTGCAGCTGTTAAATCTGCAGTAAGTGTGTGATGCTATTGTGTCAACATAAACCAAAATCTGTGAGCAATGTTTCCAGCACCTTGTTGAATCTGTGCCATGGAGACCAAGGCAGCTCTAAAGGCAAATAGGGAGTCCAGCCTAGTTCTAGTAGGTGTATTGCACACAACCCACATTTCTAATGTCTGTAATTTTAGCAGTAAATTTAATAAAACAACACAATTCAGTCTGTCAGTCTGCCCCAGGGCAGCTGTGGCTACAACTGTAGCTTGCCTCCACCAGTGTGTGAATGTGAGAGTGAATGAATACTGGAATTGTACAGCGCTTTGAAGTTCTCAAAAAGCGCTATATAAATGCAATCCATTATTATTATTATTATTATTACAAATGACACCTGCCAACACCCCCCTTGGTCACATAAAGTGCACATTTATTTCTCTGCATTATGTAATGATTCCTAACAATGTAAGGCAGTGCACCACGGCAGTCTTGCAATATTTATTATGGCCCATAATGTTTGACTTTTTTCATTGCATTGTTGGAAATGTGTAAATCCTGGTAAAATCATAGTTATGTAACATTATGCTGAGAGCTGTCTGTAAGGTGCTCTGTAGATCGAACCACCTCTCAGCAGTCCAGTAATACTGACCTCAATGCTAAAACATATAAATGAATGAACACCTCTGTGACGTTGTCAACGAAATGTATTTATAGATATCATTAAAGCATTTATGGCGGACCAGGTGTACCTAATAAAGTGGATACTGAGTATATTGAGAAAGGCCTGGCATTCATATTGTACACTGTTCAGCAGGAATATATAGTGGCAATAAATCATAGCCATATACCATTTTACCGCAGCCTAGTTAGACTGAGACCAAGCCTTTGTTAGTTTTCATAACCGAGGTGAGTAATGACTGCCAGAAGGTGGAGGCCAACACAAGGTGTGCTGACATTCCTAAGGGCAGAGGGTTCAGAGTTCAGGTTGAAAAGTAAGCTTTAAAACCACTAATCTGAGCTCCTGGCAGAGACATCACTGAGTCACCCACTTTGATAAAGAATCCTCCTCACCTCCTGCAGGCACTGCGTCTTCTGGTCATTTTAACACAGTTATATGGTTACATAAAGGGGGGGTTGTGGAATATATGCTTGAGTTTTCTGTTTCCCCACATTGCCGTGGATACAGTCGGTGATTATCAGCAGCAAAGCTCTTCATTATCTGGCGCTGTGACAGAACTGCTGCTGCAGCTGTGCTTCGCCATGCTATATCCTCCCGTTTGCTGTCTGGAGTATATCTTTATACTGTCTCTGTAATGATGCTAAACCAAATTGCCATGCAATCAGTGTCTTGGAAACAAGATCTCGCTTGTTTAGGATGCTCAGAGTTGAGTTGTATGACACCGCTGCTTCTCTGGGAATCTGTTTTATTTTGTTTTTGTTGGTTTGCAAAGTACTCCAAGTGCTGCGTGGCGTCTCTTCTCGTCCACCTGGGGATTTCTCTGCCACTTTCCAAAACAAAACCAACCATTTCTTTGCTCATTTCATTTTGTGTCTCTTAATAAGCATGTGCTGACATCCTCGAAGGCATCCCACTGACTAAACAAATGGGAGCAGCGAGGCCTGAAAGACACGAGAGGCGGACGACAGCATCAGTTAGTGTTACTTTGAGACCACACAGTCTTTTTTCCATCAGTTAAATAGGATAATATTTCTGTTAATCTTCCTACTGATTTTGGTCCAGACTTTCATGTCATTTGGTATACCTTATATCTGTTTGTTAACACGATTATATAATCAAAGTGAGATACACGACACAACCTCAGTGCATTTAGATATGATCAAGCAGACCAGCTGAAGTTCAAACTGAGCATCAGAATAACGAAGAAAGGTGATATAAGTGATTTAGGTGATTTAACAGAAAATACTGGATATTTTCGTTCCCTAGGTGAAAATATCTTGTTGATGCCATAGTTTAGAGAATGGCCCTCAAGCTGATAGGAAGGCAGTTATGGAGAAGAGCATCTCTGAATGCACAGTATGTCCAGCCTTGAAGCAACTGCATTATAGCAGAAGAAGGTCACACCAGTTGCCACTGTTATCAGTTAAAAACAAACACTGAGGCTTCAAATCTCAGCCTCACTGGAAAAATGCCACGTGGTCCGATGAGCATCAATTTCATTCAGATAGTGTAATCAGAAGTTGGTGTAAAGGCCATAAAAGCATGAATAAATCCTGCTTTGTATCAAAGGTTCAGGCTGCTAGTGGTGGTTTAAAGGTGTGGGGGATATTTTTGGCACAGTATTATAGCTGACCATGCTGAAATTATTCCACAAAGAATTAAAGCAGTTCTGAAAGGCAACAGGGGGCCAACCTGCTACTAACAACAAATAAAGTGTCGAATGTAGTCCACATTAATAAAAAATGTATTTTAAAAAATATTTAGTTTACATGCATAGATGATGTATGTATTATCTCCACAATATCATTTTTTAATTTAAAAAAATGCAGATTAAGAACAAAACAGGCTCACAGGAAGTTCTCTCTCTGCTAGGAAAATTTGGACTTTCAGAAACAATGTGTTGATC